ACACATTCTGATACAAAAATGTTTTTCAAGCCTTTGCTTATGTAACATTTGCTGTTGCCCCTTTGGTCAAATCGAGTCACAGGTCAAGTCCAGATTCAAGGGGTAAAGAAATAAACTCCATCTCTTTATAGAAAGAGTGGGAAAGTCACGTTACAAAGGGTTGTACATACAGGGATGGGAGGAATTGTTTGGCTGGCTTTGTAAACAGTCTACCACAGTAGGACAGGGAACAATTTTGGTTTAAGGATTTGTTCAGTGGCAACACATGACACACAGATTTCCTAAAATACTGGGCATTTTATGTAGTATGTTGTTAGGAGCCTTTGAGCTGATTTTGACTCATAGAACCCCATGTGACAGAGTAGAACTGCCCTATAGGGTTTTCTAGGCTGTAATCTTTGTAGCAGAAGATCACCAGGTAGTTGTCCTGTGGAGCTGCTGGGTGAGTTTGAACAGCCAGACTTTCGGTTACCAGCCAAGTGCTTAACCATTGTGCCACCAGGCCTCCTTTATGTTGCGTGCTTGGTATTCTGTTTCAACAGAAGAATAATTGTATGAGAGTCAGTGGTGTGTATCATCCATTTTCTTAGCGATGAACACGCCTTGTGTGAATCAGTAATTTAGTTAAATATTTATTGGACACCACCAATGGGCCAGACACTGTTCTAGCTGGGAAAAAAAGGCAGACATAATTCAGAATGCATAAAAATCACAAGTAACAAAGAGAAGCTTGCAACTTATTAGTGCGGCTTTCAGTTTTGAGTTTGAGGCAGCACAGTTTGCTTTCTATGCAAGATTTTTTTTATCAAGAATTAGCCACTGATTTTAAAGAGCAGCTTGATGATTGGTTTCTCTGCTGACAGCAAGTATGTATTTTTTTAAGTTATTGAGTTCAAGAGATTGCCTTAAGAGGGAGAAGGAAGGATTCGAGTACTTTTCTCTTCCACCTAAAAAAGACTGATCTTTTAATCAACAGATACTAAAGGAATAATAGCCATTATATTTTCGTGTCTACCAGTATAGCTAATTCTAATGTATTAGTTAGACACCATTTAAACCCATTGCCATTGAGTTGATTCCGACTCATAGTGACCCTGTAGGCCAGAGTAGAACTGCCCCATAGGCTTTCCAAGGCTGTAATCTTTACGGAAGCAGACTGCTACGTCTTTCTCCCATGGAGCAGCTGGTGGGTTCCAACTGCCAACCTTTCTTTTGGTTAACAGCCGAGCGCTTAACCACTGCACCACCACGGCCATTTAGACAATCATTGAGTCTCACAAGTATCTCCCATCTACCTGCCTAAGCAAGTAGGAGTGTAAAGGCCACCAGGAAACCTCCTTGGGAAAGTCTTGTCTAAATTGGATAAGTTAGGAAACTTGGGGTGATCCTTTGTCAGGCCAAATTAATTGGATCCTAGTGATAGATTTGAAGCCTTTGAATTATGGTGTTGGTGAAGAATATTGAATATACCATGGACTGCCAGAAGAAGGAACAAATCTGTCTTGGAAGGAGTACAACCAAAATGCTTCTTAAAAACTATGGCAAGACTTCGTCTCATGCACTTTGGACATGTTATCAGTAGGGACCAGTCCCTGGAGAAGGACATCATGCTTGGTAAAGCAGATGGTCAGCAAAAAAGAAGAAGACCCTCAACAAGATGGATTGACACAGTGGCTGCAACATGGGCTCAAACATAACAAAGATTGTGAAGATGGCACAGGAGCAGGCAGTGTTTCATTCTTTTGTACATAGGGTCACTGACAACACCTAACAACAACAGTAATAGATGATCAGAAATAAATGGAAAAATTACACGCAAGTGGGAGTTTTCTTTTATAATAGCAGTTTTGCCCACTGTTGATAAGATTGTATTTTTATAGAATGATTATATTCTTATAGGGTGTACAAAAATGACCTTTTTAGTTTTCCAGATTAGGGGAATATCTTTTATAATTAAAACCATTGTTACCCCCAGGGGCGGAAAATCAGTAGAACATTTCTACTGTTCCTTTGCTTTCTATTCTGTTTAATTTTCTAGAAAGATGTGAGAATCTCCTTGAATCCAGTGGTGGCAATACTGGAAAAACTTCTTGCTCTAAAAATGCCAGTTTTTGTTGGATGACATTTGAAAGGTGGGGAATTTGGAGGTGACTCTCTCCCCCCTTGTTTTTTTTTTTCTCTTTCATGAACCTTTTTACTTTAAAAAGTTTTACCACATACAGTTTTGTTGGCATCCCCCTATCTTTACGATACATGTTATAATGTTGAAATTGAAAGGAAGGATAGAGCTGCTAACATGAGTTACAGTTAAGTGACTTTTGCTTGTGGTACATATTGCGCTAGGCAGTGTACAAAATGAACTAAACGAATACTGCTATTGTTAGGAATTTAAGGTCAGAGCGGAAAGGAAGATAAATAGTGTTATGGTTTACAGCCCTAGAAGGTTAGTGTCTGATAAAATATAGCATTGATCCCTGAGAAAGTACAAAGCTACATTTAAATCCTGAGATTATAGTACATTAGATATAATTTCTGAACCTGTATATAGATGAAGAGGCAGTCGTTTGAACAGAACAAGGGGATACCATGTGGTTTAAAATCAGGAAACGTGTGTTTCAGGGGTGTATCCTTTGACCATACTTAGTCAATCTGTATTCTGAGCAAATAATCTGAGAAGCTGGATTATGTGAAGAAGAAGGTGGCATCAGGATTAGAGGAAGACTGCGATATGCAGATGACACACCCTTGCTTGCTCAAAGTGAAAAGGACTTGAAGCACTTACTGATGATCAAAGACTGTAGTCTTTGGTATGGATTACACCCCGAAATAAAGAAAACAGAATCCTCACAAGTAGACCAATAAGCAACGTCCTGCTGAAAGGAGAAGATTCTGAAGTTGTCAGGGATTTCATTTCACTTGGGTCCACGTCAACACCCAAGGAAGCAGCAGTCAAGAAACCAAACGTAGTATTGCATTGTGCAAATCTGCTGCAAAAGACCTCTTTAAAGTGTTAAAAAGCAAAGTTGTCACCTTGAGGACTAAGGTGCAACTGACCCAGGTCATGGTATTTTCAGTTGCCTCATATGCATATGAAAGCTGAGCAATGAATAAGGAAGCCTGAAGGAGAATTGATGCCTTTGAATTATGGTATTGGTGAGGAATACTGAATGTACCATGGACTACAAGAAGAATGAACAAGTCTGCCTTGGAAGAAGTTGTCTTAGTTATCTAGTGTTGCTGTAACAGAAATACCACAAGTGGATGACTTTAACAAAGAGGTTTATTCTCTCACAGTCCAGTAGGCTAGAAGTCTGAATTCAGGGTGCCGGCTCCAGGTGAAGTCTTCTCTGTGTCAGTTCTAGAGGAGGGTCCTTGTCATCAGTCTTCCCTTGGTCTGGGAGCGTCTCAGAGCAGGAACCTCAGGTCCAAAGGACATGCTCTGCTCCCAGCACTGCTTTCTTGGTATGAGGTCCCCCGTTTCCTTTGATCTCTTGTAAGATAGAAGGTGGTGCAGGCGACACCCC